TTGATTCTTCTCATGCTCACCTTGCTGAAGCCTTTAACACGTCATGTTCTATTGCTGAACCTGATGCTGCTGATTGGTTTCTGGACACTGGGGCTTCGGCTCATATGACTGCCGATCCATCTATTTTGGATCAGTCTAAAAATTACACGTGTAAGGACTCTTTGATCGTAGGAAACGGTGCATCCCTACCCACTATCCACACCAGTACTCTTTCTCTTGTTCCAAATATTCACTTATTAGATGTCTTGGTTGTCCCTCATCTCACTAAAAATCTTCTTTCCATAAGTAAATTAACGTCTGATTTTACTCTCTCCGTTACATTTACTAATAATCTTATTATTATCCAGAATCGTCAAACAGGAAGGGTGGTGGCATCCGGTAAAAGAGATGGAAGATGGAGGACTATATGTGCGGGAGCGCGGCAACTCTGCTTTTATTTCAATCCTTAGAAACAAATCTTTACGTGCTTCATATGATTTATGGCATGTTAGCCTGGATCATGTGAATCATTCTGTTATTTCTTTTTTAAATAGAAAAGGTCATATTTCTCTTACGTCTTTATTGTCTTCTCCATCATTATGTAATACTTGTCAGCTTGCGAAAAGTCATCGATTGCCTTATTTCCACAATGAACGTAGGTCATCTCATGTGTTAGATCTTATTCATTGTGATCTTTGGGGTCTTTCTCCCGTCAAATCAAATTCGATTTTTCTTTATTATGTTATTTTTACTGATGATTATTCTCGATTCACTTGGCTTTACCCTTTAAAATTTAAATCTAATTTCTTTGATATTTTTCTTCAATTTAAAAAATTTGTGGAAAATCAATATTCTTCTTGTATCAAGGTATTTCAAAGCGATGGAGGTACCGAATTTACTAGCACTTGTTTCAAAACTCATTTACGTAATTCTGGCATCCACCATCAACTCTCTTGTCCATATACACCTGCTCAAAATGGTCGTGCTGAGAGAAAACATCGTCATGTGACTGAGACTGGCTTGACCCTTCTCTTTCACTCTCATCTTTCTCCTCGTTTTTGGGTTGACGCCTTCAACACTACATCTTATATTATCAACCGATTGCCTACTCCACTTCTTAGAGGTAAGTCACCCTTTGAACTCCTTTATGGCTACACTCCACATTATGAGAATTTTCATTCCTTTGGTTGTCGTGTTTATCCTTATTTGCGTGATTATATGTCTAACAAGCTTTATCCCCGCGACATTCCTTGTATCTTTTTGGGGTTATAGTTCTACTCATAAAGGGTTCCGCTGTTTTGATCCTACCACCACTAAGCTATATATCACCCACCATGCTCAATTGGATGAAACTCACTTTCCTGTTATCCCTAGCTCCCAGGCCCAACCTCTTTCCTCTATTTCTATTTCAAATTTCTTGGAACCACATCTTTATCATATTGATTCATCCCCCTACCACTTCATCATCGCACATTCCTTGATCCAGTTCATCCCCGTGTGATATTTGTTCTGACCTTGTGGATGAGTCTGTGCAGGTTGATACTTCTCTTGCAGGTTCCACTTTGCCACCCTCGACTTCTAATTCGACCTCTATTAAACCTACTGTTGATTCCTCTTCTTTGGGCACTCATCCTATGATAACACGAGCCAAAGCTGGTATATTCAAGACTCGACATTCAGCAAATCTTGGTATTTTGGGCTCATCTGGACTTCTTTATGCTCTTCTTGCATTCACTGAGCCAAAAGAATTCAAATCTGTGGCTAAGAATCCTGCTTGGGTTGCTACCATGGATGAAGAAATTCGAGCGTTACAACAAAATAATACTTGGACTTTGGTTCCTCGCCCCGCCAACACCAACATCGTGGGCTCTAAATGGGTGTTTCGTATTAAATATTTACCTGATGGATCTATCGAGCCTTTCAAGACTCGTCTTGTTGCTAAAGGTTATACTCAGGTTCCTGGTCTTGACTACACCGACACTTTCAGTCCGGTTGTCAAAGCTACCACTGTCCGTGTTGTGCTTTCTATTGCAGTCACAAATAAATGGCCTCTTCGACAACTTAATGTCAAGAATGCTTTTCTCAATGGAACTCTTATTGAACGTGTTCATATGGAACAACCTCCTAGGTATATTGATCCTCGATTTCCCACTAATGTTTGTCTATTAAAGAAAGCCCTCTATGGCTTAAAGCAAACTCCTTGTGCCTGGTTTCAGTGTTTTGGCTCATTTCTTCTCACACTTGGGTTTTCTTTGCAGTCGCGGTGACACCTCCCTTTTTGTCTTTCATCAGCAATCTAACCTTATCTATTTGTTTCTTTATGTTGATGACATTATTGTTACCGGCAACAACTCATCTTTTATTGACAGCTTTACTCGCAAGCTTCATTATGAGTTTACTACCAAAAAGTTGGGTTCTCTCAGTTACTTTCTTGATCTTGAAGCTTCACTCACTCCTGATGGTCTTTTTATTAGTCAGTTAAAATATGCTCGAGATATTCTCACTCGTTCTCAATTGCTCGATAGCAAACCAGTCCACACTCCCATGGTTGTTTCTCAACACCTGACTGCTGATGGTTCTCCTTTCTCTGATCCAACTCTCTATAGATCTCTTGTTGGCGCCCTTCAGTACTTGACTATTATGCGTCTAGATATTGTCTATTCTGTCAATTATTGTCTATTCTGTCAATTATGTCAGTCAATTCTTGCATGCCCCTACTGCAGATCACTTTCTTTCTGTCAAATGTATTTTTCGCTATGTCAAAGGAACACTCCACTTTGGTCTTATTCGGTTGTCTCGATACTCGTCGTTTTACATTCGGCTATTCTATTTATCTTGGTAACAATCTCGTTTCTTGGAGTGCCAAAAAGCAACCTACTGTCTCACGCTCCAGCTGTGAATCTGAGTATCGTGCTCTTGCCACAACTGCTGCTGAACTTCTTTGAGTTACACATCTTTTGCATGACCTCAAGGTCCCAATTTCACAACAGCCCTTACTCTTATGTGACAACAAAAGTGCTACTTTTTTTAGCTCTAATCTCGTTTCTCACAAGCGAGCCAAACATGTTGAACTAGATTATCATTTCCTTCGAGAACTTGTTATCGTTGGCAAACTTCGCACACAATATGATTAAATTATTTGATTAAATTATTTAAAAAATAACTATTTAATATATAAACTTGAAAGTTCGAACGTGTTAATTGAATGGTAGAATGTGTATGAATTATGAATCAAAGTCAAGCTTATTTACTGCATTCTGGTTAGTTTTACCATTTTAGAATCACATATAATTAAGAGTGTACATTCAACTTGACAACCCACACCGACCCAACTCGAATTATAGAGATTGGATTGGGTTGGATTCATAGGACAAGTTTCAAGTTGACCCGAATCAAGCAAAATTTATAGAATATATTAAGAATTCTAATATGTTCGGTCAAAGTGATACTTTGTTTTCAAAGGCACAAGTTTGACTTAAAAGTTGAAAATTTATTTCTTTTTTTATTATTTTGTTTAATTTTTTTATATTATTTTATTTAGGTTCTTTGAGATATTTTTATAAAAATACCTATTCCTATTATTTTTAAACACATTATTTATAATAAGAATAAATTAACAAACAATTATTCATACACTTTATATTATTTTTAAATATATAGTTTATAATATGAATAAGCTAATAAACAACCATCCATAAGTTTTGGTTTAATTTTTAAAATATAATTTACGATAGATTTATTGATTATGAATTATACATTTATTTTAAAACAAAAGTATATTATGTTCGATGAATTATACATATATATGAATATTTTTTTTTACCATTTTTGAAATTAGGAATTTCTATATTTGTGTGGGTAGGAAAAAGACATAAAATTTTTTTAGAATTCTTTTATTTTCGATCCATCATTTTTCTCATAAGTCTGGGTAGAAAAGTGATGATTTTAAATGTCGAGTTTTATAAGTTATTCAAAATATTTGATCGTTTAATATTCTACTGTTTAATGTAGATTCTTAATTATGTTAGGAGTTCTTTAAAATCTAAAAACTCCTAAAATTGATAAAATTAATTTCAATAAATTCAAAAATTTTGTTCTATAACTAAGACCAATAATTTTAAATTTTAATATCCTTTTTATCTATTGTTACACCATTATTATGTCCCAATAAATAAATAAATAAATAAATAAATATTTATATATATATATATATATATATATATATATATATATATATATATTATATTATAAAAATATTTTACTTACATTAAAATAGATTTTTTTAATATATATATATATATATATTTTTGTTAGATATAGTTATTTAAATTAATTTTTTTTATTGTTTTTTAATTTCATGATGTTATATTTTTTTAACCAATTCTTAAGTGCTGTAGTTAGTTATCTTACGTTCTATGATAATGTTGAATTATATTACAACGTTACAATTTTTGTATGTTGTTATTGATGAATTTGTTTTTTGAGTTATTATAAATTGATTTCTGTTGGTTCCTGAATTTTTAAAATTTTTTATTTAAGATTGTGTCCCATCATATTCAAATGAGGACAAATAAAATTTACTAATTTTTTTTAAAAAACCTGACAACCCAATCCAAGTGGGTTAGGTTGGGTTGTGGTTTTTTTTTTTTAAAATCAAACTTATTAATTTTTATTTTATAAATAGTAGAAATATCTTCCCTTTTCAATTTTTTTATTGTATAAAAATTATTATTATTATTTAACTAATTTCAATCAATATTAACTTAAAAAAAAAAAAAACTACACGACAATGATTTATTAAAAGTAGCAATCTAAATTAATAATAGATTAATCTTAATTAAATTAAACAAATTAACTACATCTTTTGCTGCTTCAAATTCCACAAAACCAAAAAAAAAATGCTTCACACCATTTTGAGCATTAAATTACAAAAGGGAATTTTTGCCATGCTCAAGAAAAGTCAAATTATCTTTAAAAAAAAAAAACATTAAAAAAACTTTATAAAATCCAAAACAGTACTTCTAACTCTGAGGAACTATTTCCAGACCACCGTGATTACTTGGATTCAAATCTTCCGACCTAGAGAATTCATGGTTCGTGTCATGGATCGAATGATTCGATGGACTTAGCAAGTAATTCAAGTTTGGTGAGGTGCCAACAGGGTTACCGTCTTCCGACCTAGAGAACTCATGGTTCGTGTCCTGGATCGAAACATTCGATGGACTTAGCAAGTAATTCGAGTTTGGTGAGGTGCCAACAGGGTTCCCGTGATTTGCTTGAATCTTGTTGTCTACTACTTGTGGAGGATTACTCTTTCTAAATGTGTATGAAGTCAAGTCTCTTTTGTCGTAGATTTTGAGTAGTGCTCGAATTTTACTCTTAATGGAGGAGTTGGAGCTTTCATTGGCGGTGTGACGGAGCGTGTGTTGTTCTTTGTGAAGGAAAATGATGAAGTAGATGAGGAGGGAGATGATGGAGGCAATACCGGTAATGAGGAATAGGCCCCAAAAGCTGCCTAGGTTCAGTCCGGAAGAAGTAACTTTTGGTATGGAAGACCATGAATTGCCTTGATCACCAAACCATTTCATTTGTAGCTGGTTCATCCTCTTACTCTCTGTCACATTTAACACCGCTCTTGATATGTCTACCACCAATGGTGAGCCAATGGAAAATGCCTGTTGGCATCATCATTATAGACATTAAAATAATCACCCTAAAATAATTGTGTGTTCTAATATCACGAAGAGAGACAAAGACTTACAAATCCAAATCCATCAGTTTTGTAGTTGGGGCCAACCATAGTGTACTCATCACGAAACTTGGAAAGGAAGAGCTTAATGTAAGGGGTTTCATCAAAAGCAGCATCAATGCCGCCATTGGAGCCTCCTAGTTTGAACAACTTGTCGAGTTCCTCAGGAGACCTATAAGACTTGAGATTCTTAATCCCCACCGAGGTCAACAGCTCCCCAACAAATGAACCGTCTAGATATCCCACTGATGACTGCTTCATCAATAGCTCATTTATATTTGTAATGGTAGGCTGTAACTGTTGCACTGTCAACAAAGAAGTCAAGCTTGCTGTGTAGCTTTGAGTTAGAACGAACACCACGAAGAACCATATCACCCCCACGAATCTTGCCAAATTGCTTATCAAATTCTCCCCTGAAAGTACAAATGGATCGAAAAATATGAATAAATAGTTAAATATATTCGAAAATTATAAATTTAGTTCATCAAAAGGTAAATGTGGTTACTTTGGGTGAAGACCATAGTGCAAAAGGAGTACCAGAGGCTGGTACTGATCTGATGAGAGGGAGGACCACGAAAGTCTGGGTTGATTCGATGTTCAAGAATCCAAACCACAAACCCCATGAACACAAAGAAGCATAAGCTTGTGATCCAAAGGTCTAAAGTGAGAGGCTTCAGAAAAAGCCATGCTCTGTTCTTGGAGTCGGCTTTTGTTGGAACCACCATTGAAACTCCGGACTCTGTGAATGGCAAGGTGAAATCAACGTACTTGGATCTGTTTGCTACGATGGTTATGTCTCCTACTGCACCGTCGTATACCTGTCCATAAACCACACATTCATCGATACTTTTTTTTAGTCCACAGAGTTGAATTAATCAAATGAATACAAACATACTGACCCCTTCGTAAACTTGCATGATGAGATCATCGTAGGAACCGGCTCTAGATCCATTCGGAAGTGCAAATGGAATGTAATCAAACGGAAGGGCGTATGGAATCGCTTCTATTACCGCATCGAATACGTCCCTACAATACCCTTCCACCTTCTTTCCATTCACTCTCACGAACTCACTATACCCTTCCTTCACCGGAACCCCAATTCTCAACCTTTTCCCTTCCGTCGGAAACTCCCACCCTTTCGGCGCCGCCGCCGTGTTCCCCGGCCAGATCACTGTCATATTGTTACTCAACAACCCCTTTTCAGGATTCCAAAATCCAACTCTGTTTCCCCCATTACTTTTCACATTCACTATCTCAAATTCCGCCGATTGCAGCTGCCCATTCACGATCTCGTAATTTCCAGTCAGCCCCATGAACTTCGTCTTCGACAACGCCTCAACAATTTTCTCCCCGTTTTGAGAAACCCCCAGAGTTTGAAGATCGGTTAGATTTTCAGATCCATTTGGGTTTTCGAATGTGAAGTTTTTGGCCCCTGTTTTCTCTACTGCAATTGCCAGTGCTCGAGCTGCATCATAGGCCCACAGTCCGAAGATGTCTAAATGTGGATCATTGAGGACAGAATTTTCCATTATCAATTCCCGTTTCCATTTAATTTTGAAACGGTCGAGCTCCATTGATTTTGGGACGTATGTCTTCACTCCCAAGGCTCCTTCCATGGAGTTTAGAACAGGGGAGCTCATAGAATCGAGCAAATTCGCGGTGGCATCAGTCAAAATCCAAACGTAACCTTCCCTCATCATTCCAATTTCATTGGTCTTAGCAAATAAGCGAATCGCCAGAGACGGCAACATGTGCACCAAGAACACTCTGGTCGGCANCGTGATTTGCTTGAATCTTGTTGTCTACTACTTGTGGAGGATTACTCTTTCTAAATGTGTATGAAGTCAAGTCTCTTTTGTCGTAGATTTTGAGTAGTGCTCGAATTTTACTCTTAATGGAGGAGTTGGAGCTTTCATTGGCGGTGTGACGGAGCGTGTGTTGTTCTTTGTGAAGGAAAATGATGAAGTAGATGAGGAGGGAGATGATGGAGGCAATACCGGTAATGAGGAATAGGCCCCAAAAGCTGCCTAGGTTCAGTCCGGAAGAAGTAACTTTTGGTATGGAAGACCATGAATTGCCTTGATCACCAAACCATTTCATTTGTAGCTGGTTCATCCTCTTACTCTCTGTCACATTTAACACCGCTCTTGATATGTCTACCACCAATGGTGAGCCAATGGAAAATGCCTGTTGGCATCATCATTATAGACATTAAAATAATCACCCTAAAATAATTGTGTGTTCTAATATCACGAAGAGAGACAAAGACTTACAAATCCAAATCCATCAGTTTTGTAGTTGGGGCCAACCATAGTGTACTCATCACGAAACTTGGAAAGGAAGAGCTTAATGTAAGGGGTTTCATCAAAAGCAGCATCAATGCCGCCATTGGAGCCTCCTAGTTTGAACAACTTGTCGAGTTCCTCAGGAGACCTATAAGACTTGAGATTCTTAATCCCCACCGAGGTCAACAGCTCCCCAACAAATGAACCGTCTAGATATCCCACTGATGACTGCTTCATCAATAGCTCATTTATATTTGTAATGGTAGGCTGTAACTGTTGCACTGTCAACAAAGAAGTCAAGCTTGCTGTGTAGCTTTGAGTTAGAACGAACACCACGAAGAACCATATCACCCCCACGAATCTTGCCAAATTGCTTATCAAATTCTCCCCTGAAAGTACAAATGGATCGAAAAATATGAATAAATAGTTAAATATATTCGAAAATTATAAATTTAGTTCATCAAAAGGTAAATGTGGTTACTTTGGGTGAAGACCATAGTGCAAAAGGAGTACCAGAGGCTGGTACTGATCTGATGAGAGGGAGGACCACGAAAGTCTGGGTTGATTCGATGTTCAAGAATCCAAACCACAAACCCCATGAACACAAAGAAGCATAAGCTTGTGATCCAAAGGTCTAAAGTGAGAGGCTTCAGAAAAAGCCATGCTCTGTTCTTGGAGTCGGCTTTTGTTGGAACCACCATTGAAACTCCGGACTCTGTGAATGGCAAGGTGAAATCAACGTACTTGGATCTGTTTGCTACGATGGTTATGTCTCCTACTGCACCGTCGTATACCTGTCCATAAACCACACATTCATCGATACTTTTTTTTAGTCCACAGAGTTGAATTAATCAAATGAATACAAACATACTGACCCCTTCGTAAACTTGCATGATGAGATCATCGTAGGAACCGGCTCTAGATCCATTCGGAAGTGCAAATGGAATGTAATCAAACGGAAGGGCGTATGGAATCGCTTCTATTACCGCATCGAATACGTCCCTACAATACCCTTCCACCTTCTTTCCATTCACTCTCACGAACTCACTATACCCTTCCTTCACCGGAACCCCAATTCTCAACCTTTTCCCTTCCGTCGGAAACTCCCACCCTTTCGGCGCCGCCGCCGTGTTCCCCGGCCAGATCACTGTCATATTGTTACTCAACAACCCCTTTTCAGGATTCCAAAATCCAACTCTGTTTCCCCCATTACTTTTCACATTCACTATCTCAAATTCCGCCGATTGCAGCTGCCCATTCACGATCTCGTAATTTCCAGTCAGCCCCATGAACTTCGTCTTCGACAACGCCTCAACAATTTTCTCCCCGTTTTGAGAAACCCCCAGAGTTTGAAGATCGGTTAGATTTTCAGATCCATTTGGGTTTTCGAATGTGAAGTTTTTGGCCCCTGTTTTCTCTACTGCAATTGCCAGTGCTCGAGCTGCATCATAGGCCCACAGTCCGAAGATGTCTAAATGTGGATCATTGAGGACAGAATTTTCCATTATCAATTCCCGTTTCCATTTAATTTTGAAACGGTCGAGCTCCATTGATTTTGGGACGTATGTCTTCACTCCCAAGGCTCCTTCCATGGAGTTTAGAACAGGGGAGCTCATAGAATCGAGCAAATTCGCGGTGGCATCAGTCAAAATCCAAACGTAACCTTCCCTCATCATTCCAATTTCATTGGTCTTAGCAAATAAGCGAATCGCCAGAGACGGCAACATGTGCACCAAGAACACTCTGGTCGGCATTGTCATCAATTTGTAAAGCTCTTCCTCGATCTGATCCTCGGTAGCCGTTGGATCAATGACGCTCTGATATGGGACGCGCGTATTCACACCCTGCAATGCGTGGATCAAGTAGGGTGACATCCCGTCTCCAAACTCATCGTCTTGGTAGATCAAAACCACCTGATTAGATAGAAAAAAAAAAAAAAAAAAAAAAAAAGATTAAAATGCAGGGCAGCCAAGTTCTGTAATTGAACGGAGATTTAAAAACGTACCTGTCTCCAATTGTAGGCTTTGACCAGAGCGCTGATAGCGGTGACTTGGGCAGAGTCATTCTGGGTGAGACGAAAGAAGTAGGGGCTGCGGTGGGAGGCGAGAGCGGGGCTGGAGGCAGTAAAGGTAAGGATGGGGACATGAGCTTTGTGGGCGAGCTTGATCACAAAGTTGGTCTGCATCGAAGTTGTTGGCCCCAAAATTGCTTCAACTTTATGGTTGTTTATGAGGTCAAGAGCTGTTCCATCAAGGGGTTGAAATTGCTTGATGATTAAACATTAGAAAAGTTGGATTTTTGCATAGCTTTAAACGGCAGTAATAAAAAGAAAAGGCAGAGATCTGGAACCTGTGGCCGCCGCACCAACGACATCGCCGGCGGAGTCCTTGGGGTGGAGAACGATCCTAGTTTTATAGTGAGGGTTAGCTTCATAGAATTCCGACAGCGACATGTGGATGCAGCTCAGCCCCACCTTGCCGACCCAGGTCTCCATATCCAACACCACCCCCACGCTCACATTTTGAGCCTCCCCTGCCGTTGCAACCAACAAGACGCAGGCTGCGATGAAGGACAGAGGCCGGTGGGTGCCCTGATCTGGGTTCATCTTTCCGGTGAGTCGCCACAGGAATGAGAAGAAGGTTTAATGAAGGGTTGTTGGTGAAGGGAAGTGATGAGAAAAGGCTTCATTATATATTGACCTTACGCCATGAAAGAGAGTGGCGATATGAAAAGGCGTCGTCTCCTCGCTATTTTTCTTTAATGAAAATGTATTTTATTTGTTATGAAAGGGCGTCTTCTCCTCGCTATTTTTCTTGGTTTTTTTTTTTTTTTATTATTATTATTTTTATTTTAGGTTGTAATTTTGTGAGTAAAAATAAGTTTGTAATTTTATTTTTAAATTAATGAAATAAATACCACTATCACATATTATTTTTCTTCTTTTGTTATCTACTAATTGCATGTATTTTTATTTTTATTTATTTTTTATTTTTATTTTTAAAATTTTATAAAGATTTCACGTTTCAAGAATAAAAAGAATAAAGCAATAAAAGATGCTTAAACAATAATAGACTTAAACTTTAAAAAAAAAAAATATATAATTTTCATTCATTTTAGTAAGAAACAAATAGTAATTTATCTTTAAAAAAATATCTTTCCACTGTTTTAAAAAATTTTAAAAATAATCTACCCCTAGTATCATGTTTTAAAATAATACTCATAAATTTTTAAAACTAACAATAACACTATAATTGCAACGGACTTCAATTAAAAAAATTTTAAAAATACTCATTGCCAAAAAAGGTGCAAGAATTCTGGCAAGGTACAAAGGTTTGGGAAGTCTTGGAAACTGAACGGATCGATCATAGGTATATTACATATGAAACTGAATGGGTATCTCAAACTGAATGGGAATTCTACATCAACAGCTACTAGAGAATGCTCGCCTAACTGAAAAGGGGTCTAGGAGGTGTGTCAACTATAATGCTCTTAAAAAAAAAAAAATCGGTCAAAGTCAAAGGGGCAAAATGGGCATTTTATCCCTCCACCCCGGTCTGAAGGGTTCTCCACAGAATTCCTGCAAAAGAGAGAAGTGTGAGAAAGAAGGTTGAGAGAAAGCTTGAGGGAGAAAAGTAAATCACCGGAATCCTCGTCGGAGAATCGCCAACGAGTCGAAGAATCGCCAACAAAATTCATCCCCTGCTGAGACTTACACTCTAGAGTTCCTTCTTGGAGAGAAGAAAGACTCGTGTTGCTGAGGTTCCTTCTTTCGTCAAGATCGGAAGAAATCCGCAAGGTAAGATCTCGAGATATGAGAACTTCGTTTGGAAATGGAGTGTTAAAGTCTACCATCTTCATCTAGGGAAGATCCGCCACTGATCTTGTGAGAAAATCGGACAAAACGTCGAGATATGAGAATCTTTCCAAGAACGGTAAGGATGTTATCGACCTCTTTCTGACGCTCATAACTCGTCGTATGGTTAAGTAAAAATCAAGAAAAAAATATTGGCACGTAGGTTGAAGTATGATCTAAAACTTTGTTGAAGAAGTCATTACAGTCTGGATTAAGAATCGAGAGATAGAAAAATGGGAAGAACGTCACAAAACTAATTGGAAACCTTGTTTTTCTGATAGAAGGAGAGAGAAGCCGTCGGCGGGCCACGTGTCAACCGGCTAGAGGATGTTATCGGACCTCTTTCTGACGGTAAGGATTATGAGAATCTTTCCAAGAACGGTAAGGATGGCGACATTATCTGTATGGAGAGAAAATTCAAGTATTCACTGATCACAAGAGTCCCAAGTAACCTATTTACGTAGAAGGAGCTTAACATGAGATAGAGGAGATGGTTGAAACTAGTAAAGGATTATGACATCGAGATCCTGTATCATCCAGGCAAGGCCAATGTCGTGGCGAACGCATTGAGCAGAAAGGCAGTTCATACTTCCGCGAAGATCACTAAGCAGGAAAGAATACAGGATGA